AGATTTACGGTAACTAGCGATCGAATCAGATTATCGTTTTCTTGACCTCATATTATATAAAAGCGATGGTGAAATTTTGACTAAAACTTTTTTCAAGGAAGTTGATAAAAATAGCTATATTCCTGCAATTAGTGGACACCATCCTAGATGGCTTCACAATACACCATTTATGGAATGAAAAAAGTTGTAGTGAAAACAGACTATATCAATCAAACAGATATTATTATTGACAGATTTGTGGAGAAGGGATATGAGAGGCCTTTTTCTTCTTAAAGAAAAGAAATTTAATTAATGAAAAAAATAGAGAGTCCCTTTTGAATAATAAGTTATCTAAGGAATTTGAGAACAATATCAGCTTTTTTACCAATTTTAATATGCAATAATCGTAAGTTGAAAGAAGTTTTAAAAATATTGGCCTATTTTTGTTACAAGATGATACCTTAAAGAAAATTATTCCTAAAAAAACAATATTTGTCTATAGGAAAAATAGGTCATTAAGGACAAGAAGAGCCCAGAATGTTATAGATCCCCCTAAAAGAGTAGAGTTTATTTTCCAGATTTAAAAGGTTTCTTTTATTGCAACAAATGTATATGTTGCAGAACAGTACGCAGAGTCAAAGAAAAATCTTTAATTCGTTTTGTTCTAATAAAGAATATAAAATCAATTCCCTGATTCCTTGCAATTCAACCCATGTAGTTTATATCCCAGAATTCCCGTGCCACCTTCCATACGTGGGGCGGACAGGGAGATGTCTTAAAACTAGAATAGCTGAACATATTGCCAATATAAAAAAGGGTTTCGAAAAAACACAGCGTTTTGAAGCATTTTAAGATGAAACATAATTGTGATCCGAGTTTATTAACCTTTTATGGTATTGATTTGGCTAAATCCATTGGAGGGGCACGGATTTAATTAATAATATTTCCAAGAAAGAAACTTATTGGATTTATGAATTGAATGCTCTTAAACCCAATGGAATGAACGTTGATATTGATCTTAATTGTTTTCTCACTAATTTTTGACGTTTGTTTTTATTTTGATTTTTTATGCCATTTTTTGCGATATTTTTATTACGGTTCCCCCTAGTCCCCTTTTTTTTTCTCTTTTCATAAGATATTTTTTCATGAGTTGTTCCCTTTATTTTAGTATTTTAGTTTATTTATTGTATTAGAGTTCCCCTTAATTATTATCTATCCTTGTTGATTAGTATTACAAACCTTTTCATTTTTGATCAGAATTCTCTTTTTAGTATCTTATTTGACAATGCCACGTTAAATGTTTTTTTTTTTTTTTAATGTTTCTTTATCATTGGATTTTGTTTTGTATAGAATATTTTGTATATACATCTTACGTTAGATATATTAGGTTTTTGTTTAGATAGGTGTGCAGAGATAATCAAAGTGCATTACACAAGATACATGTGTGTTTTATGTTGAATGAAGATTTTCCTTTAATGTCCCACGTATCTATTTTGTTACTGTCTCCCAAGATGTTTATGTTCCCAATGATCTTTTATCTGCTTATATTGAAGTCATGTTTGTTATTTACCACATTGGTTACATTTTACCCATCTTATTTGTATCCAATTGTTTACATGACAGCTTGTTGTTTTGGGATAGGATTGCTTGCTCAGTGGTATGTTGTCCCTCTCAATAGTTCACCAGCTGTCAGTCTGGTGCAGTGAATATTTAATGAACAGCTGACGTCTCACCATCCATCGCTCCGAGTGGAGGACGTTGATGACGAAATGCGTAGGGCGGTGCCTTTTGGATGGTGATGTTCAAGAACACTCCTGGTCTGTTTGCACGTTCAACCACCATGCATGTGCATGTTTAGCTGTGGTCTGAGTAGCTTGTATTCATTCACCACACGCTGTTTATACTGGTGTCAGTCTGGACACCTTGCTTGGAAGTGCATTTCTTCACTTAAAAGTTTGATGCCTTTTTAAAACATACTGCACCATGATTGGTCACACTTTTTTTCTTTCGAATGACGGTCTGATCATCTCTCAGTTTGGATACTAAATTCACCTTCTTGAAGTGGTATATTTCAGCTTATGCAAGCACATCCATCAGTTTGAGAGTATCATCGCCCACACTTCTCATCTGGAGCTGCTTAGTCCGAACACATAATAAGTGTCATTCGTCTCAGAGTAACAAGAACTTACATGGCTGTTCTCTTTTCAACAATTCACATATACTTCTTGGCGGAGTGTCTATTTAACGCATTTTATTAGGTGGTGGAATCAACTGGTGGGGAATTAATTATTCTGGACTATTATTTATAATTTTAGAACCTATTTTTGATTTTGCTAGGAGTTCTTATTTTGATTAAAGAATATCTGGTTTTTTCTTATTGTTTTGTGTAAAAATGTAAATTTTCTAAGTAATTAATCGCAACCTATATATTTATGGAAGGTACATAGAATCCATGCTGGTCTGTGGCTCTACAATATTCTTGGTTTCCAGCAAGAACTCCACCTCAGTGGTCATTTATATCTTAAAACTCACCAGTATCCTTCCCAACTATAGAAGTGAGACAAGTATACATGCTCTATAATTACTTGGTAAAGATTTTGTCCCCTTTATTAAAAACTACTTGAACCCCACATGTGGCCTGTAACACCAATCCAGTGGTACTCCATGCCAGTCAACTTTCTGAGAGTCCCCCTAACAATGAAGCAAACAATGGCTGATGAAATAGTCACAGAGCTGCGAATTCTTTAAGGGCCACCCTTGTTGCATGTCTGCGCATCTCCGGTCCAGGGGCGATTATATTCAACTTTATTCTGTCTAAAAGATTTCTGGATCAAAACAATTTGTGAGCCAATGGTGGATCCATCTGGAGGGTGTCAGTACCACCCCCCAATTATGGGACCAAGGAGTCCCCCCCCCAAAAGCTGCCTTTCGTATACACATACGCATGAAGTAGGGATATCATACATTTTCCTTCACTCTTTGTCCCCATCCACTCCCACTCAATAGTATGGTTCCTGTAAGAGGGCCCTACATGTTGGGACCAGGAAGCTTTTCTACCTATTCATATTAATATGCGTAGGAATGTTTTAGGTGTCCGTCCTGATATCATTCTCGGTCTTGGTTTATCTTTTCAGTTTTGTGCCCTTTATTGTCCTTTATGCATATTCTGCGTTCTATACTTAGTAATGTGTGAAACGATTGATGCGCGTTCTCTTTCATGTGGTTATATTTAATAAAAGCTCTAATTCTCGTATAATATCTCATCGCTTTTGTTAACTCTTGGCCGTAAGCCATATAGGTTAGGATTTGTACACTTTGATCATATTACTATGGTTGCCCACTGGAGAACTAATATTAATGGCATGTGTGCGTCACATTACATCCTTTTTTGAAGAAACTCCCATATTTCAGTGTGTGTGTTCATCGATTGCAAATTATTCCCTCCCAGTCTTAGGTCTCTATGGAGAGCAAGATCTCGAGCCTTCTGGAAAATTTAGCTCTCTTAAAGTTGAGCATTTGCAATGCTTGCTGTTTTACAGCTAACAATAAATGAAGTCATGTTATGGTCACTGCTACCAGACTGTTCTTTTATATGAACATTCGTAGATTCATCATGGTTGGAGATGACCAGGTCAGCAGAGCATCATTCCTAGTTAGGGCTTTCTATGTACTGGACCATGAAAATTGTCCGTGTAGATAGGTTTAAAAACTTTTGCCCTTTAACTGTTCCGTGCAGTACCAATACTCCAGTCACTTTCTACGGGTAGTTACCACCCCCATTATTAATCACTGTCTCTGCCCTTGCAGCCACTTTCCATTTTGCCTGTGATGAGCTGAGTCTCCATTAATGCTGGGAGGCTATAACAAACTCCAATGATGACCTTTGTAGTACCTCCGGTCCCCCACATGTTGCAGTTCCAACCCATCAATACTTCAAGCCTCATCACACTCTCCAATCAACTAGTCCTCTTTCACACTCGCTCTGAGATCTACAACTTCTCACATAGAGACAGACTCCAACCCCCTTTCCTATAGTTCCCCCATCTCTCCGAAAGAGAACCTAGCCAGGAATATGAATGCGGCCCCCAGTCATAGTGTGAGGAATGAAAGCCAAGATTCAGCAATACCAAATTCAATCCTAGTTCTCTTCATTGCACCAAACCTTCCAATTCACCTATTTTGTGCGTAGACTTCTTGACACTTCTGGCATTGGGAACAAACTCTTTCATTCACTCCCCCCCGACACCATTGTTCATTCACTCACCACCTTGTTCACATGGATTTTGTGTAATTTTTTATTTTCATGACAAATGGTACCAATTCCACTGGTGGTATGTAAACAGTGGGAAACTTCTTACCATCTGTCCATAGCCCTCCCCCCATCTTTCCCCATTCCAACCCCCCAATAAGTACTGACACTCGTCGGATCTTTTGTCTACGCCCGTTATAATCAAATTCTCGACCTCCCTCCTCCATCCTAGTTTAATAGCCTGCCCTCCAGTACTTCCCATAAACCCTCCCCCAGCACAGCAGACACACCCCTTCCATATTAGGTGCAAACCATACTCTAGTATATCAGGGCTGCACCCCCAATGAAAAAGTTCAGCCCCAGTGCTCTAGGTCAGGACTCCCATTTTTATTTCTTGCTCGCTGCCATCAATGGCCAACCCTCGGTCACCACCACTTCACTCCATGGTTCTTTGGGGACCTCAATGACATCTCCTTATCAACTGTTTCTTCCATCCCGATGAAGATCGATCAGTCCATGGAGTATATCGGGTAGGTGTATATCAGGTGTGTGAACTTTCTTCCCCACATGACAGCTGGAGATGTCCAGCAACATTCATGCTAGAAGACATTTCTCACACTCAAGGCACTAATACACGCTCGAGTTGTGAGTGGGGACCCCCAGAATGTACAGGGAGGACAGGACATCAGTGAGAACAACATTTCCATCACTCAGGTACAGGAATACGGCTACTTCCCCTGTGTGAGATCTCTGATGTCTGTGAAGATGGGACTTATCTGAAAACACAACATTTCCCGCACTCAGAAACAGGAATATGGCTTCTCCCCTGTGTGAGATCTCTGGTGAATCGGAAAGATGATGGGACCCTTTCACTGAAAAACATTTTCCCACACTCAGGACAGGAATACACGGCACTTCTCCCCCCCCGTGTGAGATCGTTGATGTATGAGTAAAGAATGGACTTCAATGAAAAACATTTCCCACACTCATGACATGAAAATGGCTTCTCCCCTGTTGTGAGATCCTCAGATTATCTGATGTAGTTGCGAAAGATTGGGGCCTTCTGTGAAAAACATTATCCCGCACCCAGGACAGAATGTGGCTTCTCACCTGTGTGAGATCGCTGATGATTCCTGTTGGAAAGCGAAATTGGACTTCTTGTGAAAAAACATCTCCCCGCTACTCATGACTACAAAGGAATACGGCTTCTTCATCTCAAGCCCGCGGAGGTAGATCTCTGATGATGTTGTGTCAAAGATCGGACTTCTGTGAAAAAACATTTCCCGCACGGTCAGGACAAGAAATACAGCTTCTCCCCTGGTTGTGTGATCTCTGATGATTGTGCAGAATGAACTTCTGTGATATAAAATTCCACCACTCAGGACAGAAATATGGCTTTTTTTTCGATCGCCCTGTGTGTGTTGTGAGATCTCTGAACATGTTTGTAAAGACTGGACTTCTGCGTGAAAAACATTTCCCACACTCAGGACAGGAATACGGCTTCTCCCCCGTATGAGCAATCTCTGATGTTTGTGTTAAGATCCGGACTTAACTGAAAAACATTTCCCACACTCAGGACAGGAATATGGCTTCTCACCCACTTTGTGAGATCTCTCTGTTTTATCTGTATGTAAAGATGGTACTTTTGTGAAAAACATTTCCCGCACTCAAGGACAGGTATACGGGATTCCTCCCCCGCTGGTGAGATCTTTTATGACGCTATTAAGACGGGATTTATAACGGAAAGCTCTTCCCGCACTCAGTACAGTGGAGAAGCTCTTCCCTATTGGAAGGCCGGCACCTGGTCCCAACACAGTCTGAGGTTCTCAGGATACGAGGAATCCGATGGTCCATCTACACTGGTGGTGCCCTGGCCTGATGGACATTGGAGGGAGCACGGGTTTTCCTCTCCTGGAACTATACTGTGTGAGATGTCCCCTCATTCTTCTACTTTCCAGTCTGGTGACAAAGTGAGACAATGCCTCAGAGGTTTTTCCTCATCTCCCGGCCATGGTCTAAAATACAAAGCGACATAGAGGATAATACTAGACAGGAGCTGATTGGTTCCCCCAAAACCAGGACTTCCGCCCACATCAGTGCAGCTTGGTCTCTGAGGAGCTTACAATTCCACCTCAATGGGGAACTTAGGGAAAAATGTGCTCCCTCTGATCTCCTACCAAGGTCATTTCTTTACATTCATAGGACCTTAGTCAGAGAGTGAGGAAACAACCAGAACTGACCTTTATATAGGAGGGACAGCAAGATGAGGAGGAATTTATAGAGACGAGTGAGTCCCCAGCCCACCCGCACGTTCCCTACTTACCACTCACTATCCGCGCCATCATCCCAACACAAAGAAGTACAGACGCGCGAACATTCCGTCATTTAGCCTCCATGACATTTCAGTCATGAAGAACAAGCGTGGACTGATGCCCCCACCAGAGGCCAGAGAGTAGAGGAGGCAGGGTGAGAGACAACCACATGGATGTTGCGACTGTACTAGATCCGTGAATACCACCATCATTGGGGGTATTGGCTCCTCCCCCCTTCATTCATCACTATTCAGTGTTAAAAAGGCTCCAAAGTCTGGAGCGATGTTATCACATTATTCATACACCAGCATGTAAAATTCTGGAGCATCCAATCACATCACTCCTATAATAAACTGTCCAGGCTGACTGAGGAAATGGTGTGAAACAAACCAAGAGAATCTATCTTATTGTGTATATATCAAGCAGTGAGCGCGAGAGAGCAGGTGGTCAGGGTCCACGGAATGATACAACATATAGTAATAAATAGTGGCAGGTGGTCAGGAGGATGTAACATTACAACAAAAAATTATATAGTAGGTGTCATCGTGGTCCAGGAAGTATGTAATAGATGCTACAACTTAGAGTATATATGTGCAGAGGTCATGAAATATGTAATTGATACAACATGGAGAGTAGTATAGTGGCAGGGGGTCCATGAGTAATGTAAATGGTACAATCATAGATATTAATATGCGAGGGTTCCAGGAAAATGTAATGTACAACACAAGAGTAAAGTAAGTAGCAGGCGGGTCTAGGAGTATGTAATCGATACAACCATGTATGAGGAGCATAAAGTAGTCAGGGGTACAGGAGTATGTTAATGTACAGACATAGAGATATATATAGTGCATGTGTGAGGAAGGATGTAATGTCACTACACATAGGGAGCCTACTATCTCGTGCAGAGGGCCAGGAAGTAAATACTGATAAAATCGTTACAACATAGAGTATAAAAGTGCAGTGGGTCATGGTGAAGTATGTAATTGTACAACATAGAGTAATAATAGTATGCAGGGGGTCAGACTCACAGTATTAGTATTCAGTAATCAGTGGAGTTAACATATATGTTTAACTGTAGACAACATGTAGCAGTGGGTCAGGAGTATTAATGTACCAACAGTTATATACAGTTATAATTGGAGGTCAGGACTCACAGTCCTTATTATTCTAGAGTATATCAGTGCATTGCTTAGGTATACTTGGGCATAGGGTGAGGGCAGTGGACGTGGACTTACATTGTAGCATAAGGTGATACTGGGCATTAAAACCCATCATGAACAGGTGGCAGAGGTTGGCGTGGACGTGGTAGACTTGGGCAGAGGAGGTGGGCGGTATGGACGTGGTATACTCTATATCTCTCTATAGGGTGTCGTGGAATTTGGTATACTATGGGCAGCAAGGTGGGTGCGGTGGGACCGTGGTTATACTTTGGGGCAGAGGGAGTGGGTGGTGCGGGATGCGACATGAATATACATTGTCACAGGAAGGGGTGGCGGTGTGACTTGTGTATAACTTGGGGCATAGAGTGTGGCGATGGAACGTTGGTAATACTTGGACATAGGGTGTGGTGCGTGTTGGAGCGTGGTATACTTGGGCAGAGGGGTGATGCGGTGGATTGCTGGTAAACTTTGGGCAGGAAGGGTGTGGTGGGGGACGATGGTATAGCATTGGCGAAATAGGGGATGCGGTAGATGACGTGGTATCCATTGGACAGAGGTGTGGCGATGGATGTTGGTACCCCTTGGACATAGGGTTGGGTTGGTGGTGGACTTGTGTGATATACTTTGGTGACAGAGTGGTTGGTGCTGTGGAACGTGGTGTACTTGGTACAGAGGGGTGGGGTGGACGTGGTAAACTTGGACAGTGGGGTGGCCGTGTGGACGAGTGTTAGTAGAGGGGCGGAATGGACAGGAGTGGGTAGTCGGGGGGGTGGTTAGCGTGGTAGGGGAGGACTTGGACAGAGAGGTGCGGTGGACGTGGTATACTTGGACAGTGGAGTGGCGGTGGACGTGGTTATCCTTGGACACAGTTCCCCACACACGGCAATGAGTAAGGTAAAAGTCTACAGGCTGGAAAATACCAAATGTTAAATGGATAAAAACTGGTGCTAAAAGATCGTATTTCAGAGAGTAAATGGTTAATGAATCATACTCTGAATGGTTCCTGGTGTAGTCAGTGGTGGGGTAAGCCACCAAGGTTCAGTGTCATTCAGTGGTGTACCCACAGGAGGTTGTGTGGATTTGTGGGTACCCCAATGGTTCAGTGTCATTAGTGGGGTACTCCCAAGGTTTCAGTGTCATCAGTGGTATACCCAACGAGTTTTCCCATTGATAGTGGTTAACATCCCCCAAAGGTTCAGTGTGATTAGAGGTGTAACCCCAAGGTTCAGTGTGATTAGTGGTGAACTCCAAGTTTCCGTGTGATTAGCCGTACCCCGCCCGCCCGGTGACCTATGCCAGGAATGGTGGCTGGCGAGCACCTCGTTCCTCTCTGGGTGTGAAAGCCATTATGGCATCCTTCCAGACCATTGCGCAGTTTGCATGCCCGCAGACAGCGCGCTGTAAGCCATGTAACCGGTTACAGTGAAGTCACGAACGAGGAAAGCAACCCCAACACCCGAGCTTTTGCCCACAACAAATTTTACTTAATGTGGGTCAAATAAACACAAACCACAAAATGCAGGGAACATCAAAAAATTTACATACACCCAGCCCATATCTATCTGAGACCCTTTGTGCTGCAGCAGCATGGCGCCTCTCGATGGATGAAGTAGAAGGTGTAGTAATTTACCTACTGGGGGCACAACTAACTGCCACCCCTTACCTTTATTACCCTACAGAGCAGGAATCATTTGAATGGGGGGAACGGTATGGGCTACCCTGCGGTCCCGCACGACAGCTTACAATCTTACACAACTCTACAGTATTCCCCCCCCCCATAACTGTCCTGAAAAGCACGTCCTGAGAAACCTTTCTGAGCAAAACACCAGTCGGGGCTTGATTTTTTTAGGATTTTAAATCAGCTCTGCAATGTGAAATGACCACTTTAAAGGGTGGAGCCCCTTCCAATGATCAGTAATAAACGGGGCCTGACACAAACAGAGACCCAAACAAACTAACTATAACCTGGACTCATCCCCATAAAGGGCCCAACACTGAAATGAATGCCCTGCACGATCTTAAACCCACCTGGGTCTGCTTTTTTATCCGCTGGTGACTCTGAACAGAACAAACGTCCTTCAACAGACAAGCAATGTCAAACAGCAGTACAAGTTTCTTTTCCCTCTGTCCTCCCTCAGCTTTCCCGGCAGCAAATAAACCCCTTTTTTTGAACAGGGTTGGGGTCTTCAACAAACCCTCAACTTTTACTCAATTTAATTTCTGAATTTCAGAGGGCCATCATCACAGCTGGATGGCAACGGATTCTCAAAGTCCCCCCCAAAAACCATCTTTTTCTCCTCTCAAGCAAAGGCTGCTCTCCCCTCCCTTTCCCCCGCTTCCCCTCTCCCCAAAATCCAATACCCCACCCCTTTAAAGAACTAGAAAATCCTATGCAGTCTGAGGCTTTCAGA